ATAAAATTATTTTCGGATCTGCATCTAATTAAATTTTCTTCAGGTACTCTGGCAAAATCGTTCTTTCCACGATTTTCTCCGAATGCATACGTACGTTGTTATTCCGTCGCGCCGCCGTTCGGAATGCAAACGGCAAGTAGGAAATATCGCTCGTTAAATACGAAGCCTTTAAGACGTTGAGAGACGCGTATCTCGACAAATCGTTAACTCGCGACGAACAAACGGGCACGGAGGGGTATGAATAATGGACTCCGTAAATAGCGACGTAGAAAGGAGAGACGAGAAAAGCGAACTAACCAACGAAAGGAGAGAGAGAGAGAGAGAGAGAGGGGAAGAAAGAGAGACTAACCGTAGTAGGTAGCGGCGTGAGGTAATGATCAGGACGGAGATACTGATTCGCGCTGGACGTCAGCATCTTTCGCGGTCGATCCTCTCGCGCCGTCGGTCGTATTACTCGACGATAGGCACCACTTTTTCTATCACACTCGACGGCTCATCGGCGATCCAGCCGCGCGATCCGTCGCACTATCTTCCTCTGATATCCGCCGCAGCAGTGAAACAACGATATCACTCTCGGACGCGAAGCCATGCACCAAGCTTTAAGTTGATTCGGTGATGAAGCGGCACTTATCTGTGCGCGCGATACGCACAAAACCCTTTTTTTTCCCCTTTTTTTTTCACAAGCACTAAATTACGTAGAGAGAGAGAGAGAGAGAGAGAGAGAGAAAGAGAATAAGGAGAACAAATCGTCGGAGCACCCTTCTTAGGTCGGAGCAAGCCCAGCTTCGTCCGTTCGAAATCGACGAATCACGCGGAAAGAAAAAAAAGAAAGAAAACGAACTCGCGTCACAGTTACAGTACAGTTATTGTATATATATATATATATATATGTATATATATATATCTCGATATATCTTCAACACGTTGACGCGGTGAGATTCGACTCGCTACTAAACCGCTCGGAGCGGTCGACGTGGAGCGCTCTCGGTTTGCCCTTCTCGTCGCCCGACCCTCACCACTCCACCGGCGTTCAGCTGACTTCCCCTACCCTCGTACACCGCAGATTCGTGCTCCCCGGGGGAGCATCTCCCCTTCTTCGAGCGACTCCGCGATAACATCGTCGTAGGGTGGCCCCTCTCCTCCTCGCTCCTCAGGCGAGCCGGAGGCCCCGGAGCGGACCGGACGGTGTATCGCGACTACGACGCGCGGAACGACACGAAACACCACGAGCGGCGGCGACTAACCAATGCGGGCGAAAGAGGCGAACGCAAAGGTGACGGCGACGGCCGTAGCGACACGGTGGTCGTTGTCGGTTCGCGGCTACGCCGACACTTTTGCCTGCTTTTGCCGGGTGCGACTGGTGCGAGAACCGACCCGGCCAACGACGTGTCAACCGGCGCGGGGTGCCCTCTCGGAACTCCCATTACGAGGGCTTCCACCCCCTCCCGATCGAGGAAGAGTTTTCTAAAGACGTCCGCAGGATTTTTCCTAAACGGCTGGGGGGGGGGGGGGGAGGGTTGATACAAATTATTATAATAATAATAAATACACAAATCACTCGTTATTGCTGTAATTCTCGAGAATTAGAATATATACGTATATAATAATAAATGTATACACCTTTTGGTATTAAAAGCTTTTTCATTATCACAGTAGGAGGTATAAATTGAGAGAGAAATTGTATTAGAAATATTGTCGCTCACAGAAGGGAGGAGGTAAATGTCCTCTTAACTCTTTGAGGCGCCAATGTTCTTTCGTACGTCTAGTCTATATTCTGATACTGTTACTTCGCGATATTTTTCGCCTAACATCGTGGCACTGTTAAAGAGATATGAATGCCATCATTACTGCCATCGTGTAGCGCCCGGCACCTGCACGGTCCCACGATACGCGCGGCGCGCGCGAGTTGCCGCGGAGAGATAAAGGCCTACGTACGAGATTCTCGTTGAATTCGTAATCATCAGATCGCGTTCGACGTACCGATCGTTCCTAGGAAAATTGCACGCGCGGTACTTCTATTTTTACTGGTGGGAAATAAGGTGTTGGCACGCAAGGAAGATATCGGCTGTTCGCGTTCCCTAAGAGTCGAATTAGACTCTCAATTCGCGTACGTCGATGGACTCCTCGATTTTTCTCATTTCCCAGACACCGCACGAAGTTCAAAATCGGAATAAGACGTCTTAACTTTTACAGGACGCGCCTAGAGAAAAGGTTTCTTTGAACTAAATGTTTCCTTTGTTATACGGTTAATATATTACGGTTTATAACAAAGAAACGTTTCTTTAAATCGAAGAAAGCTCTCTCTGCGGATGCGGGAAAGTTAGTGTAGCTAAAATTATTATATTTTGAGGCAAGAAGTGAAATGAAATAAATCTAGGTCCACATAATTTTACTTCAAGAGCCTACCTTAAGTCCTAAAACCGTAAGAAGTAACCGATCACAATCGGTTATTTTTCTCATATTCAACTGTGATTGACCAATTTCTTAAGGCCTCTTAAAACAAGATTATGAACCTAGACTAATGAATTATATAATAAATCTTATTCAGAAATATATTAAATTAAAAAAATAGACTTCCGCTCTCTAAAGATGAAAAATTTTTGCGATAGCCGTTATAGACCCAGTTTTTTATTTTCTAGTTAACTCCTGCTTAAATCTAACCTGATACAAAACTTATATTTTTCTAGCTATTGCTAATCACTGATGGTTTTGTAGTGAATAATTTTAAAAATTACTTAATATTATAAAATCATCAGTTTAGTGATTAATCATAGCTAGAAAAACACAATTTTTACATTATCAGATTAAGGCCTGTTCTCGCAATATATGGTTATCTACAGATTAAAGATTAAGTTACCAAAAGAAATTATGAATAAATTTCATTGATGAACCTCTTGGTATAAGTTAGGTTGTCTAAAGTTAATCACAAGTTAATATAAAAATTAAAAAACCGAGTCTTAAAGACGTGTCTCGATTTTAAATTTTGTATTGTCTGAGTTATCTATTTCGGAATTTCCGCGCAGAGATCGTAATTAATTTCCACAATTAAGCCACAAATTCTTTTGAAAAAGATATCAACTTTTGTTTTTATCAGCGAGAAACTAAAGGATACGTTCAATTTTGTGTCTTTACAATTCTTTATCCAGTAGAGCTAATTCAAACGGGAAGGAAAAACAGGAGGCTATTTCTCGCGTACATACAATGCAGACGTTTTATTTCATCATCGCGTCCTAGTGCGTAGAGCAATAAAGTATCGAACAATATAATATACGAGCAAGTAGAGCGTGAAGCAGTATAACCATCGCCTTATGCACTTAACGCAGCCTTTGTTCGTGCGTTTACGACGATGCACTCACGCTTGAGATCCAATGTACGCTAACATCATCGAGGCGCGTTATAAAGCTCTATCCGCAATAAAAAGATACCAGGACAGGTATAGATTGTAAAAGATCTCTCTACCTAAGCACACCTGTAAACACGCGCGTTGGGCATTAGGGGTGTATCACATCCATTTTTATAAATGTGTTAATATTTATACTTTAAATAAACGATATACATAGAAGTTATATAACTCGTTTTATAACTTGTGTTCTATTTTTATTGAATACTTTTTTCTAATTTATTTACTTTATTTGTTATCATTTTCTATTCTAACGACAAAATTGAAAAAATAACAGCAAAAATCTCAATATTTTGTATGCTTAGCTCTTAAATGTCAAAAATCATTCATATAAAGTTTCAATGCAGAGATTAGTTGTACTGCAAATAAATAAAATTTATTTTTTAAATAATATATACTCACATAAATTTTGACACGTTTCCCTTCAAAAATCTTGGCATTTCCACGTATTGATAGTTACAGACGTACGTTATCGCATTAAAATGTCATTCTGGAAAAAAAAAAAAAAAAACAAGATTAATTTCTAAACCGACAAAGGCTGTGTTAATATATTTCTACAGTTGTCAGTTATAAAGTAATATACGTAACGGGAACTATAAATTTTCAGTAGTATACAACCATAAACAAAATCTTTGACGTTGTATGATTCTTTAACATACAACATAGCATACATAGAAAGGATATACATTTAGACCTAATGAATTGAGAGCATGACGCAATAATATTAAATTTGACAATTGTCAAGCTGTGCTTTTTTTACTGATTCGAGGAATTGTTTTTCAGTCCTGTCCTTTAGCATCATATAGAGTTTCTAAGCTTTTTCTAATATATAAGTATGTAATTGTTGAGAAATTGGAAGATCAGGGAAAGTTATAGTTACGTATTCAACACGATTTGACACGGACATCTTTCGAGAAAAAAGTGCTCGTAAACTTATTGGATAGGCTGTTGTAATTGTAAAACTATTTCACTTTTAACAAACGCATTGAAATAACGTTTTTATATTCGAGATGCGTGGGTGAAATTTAATACGAAAATAAATTCAATGCGAAAACGTTTAAAACGCTTGCACGTTGCACGAGGTCTAATGCATATTGTAACGATTAATGAATTCGACTAAAATGGATTGAAGTGGTAATGGCAGTGGTGTATGTTGGCGGATACGGATGCACCGGCGATGCATCGAAACGCATATCAATTGTTTCATGGAAATTCGAGTGTCAATTCCTCTCATTACTATACGCAAAATTATAGGATTGTATTGCGTGTCCTGTGATTGTGTTGCATGCGCCAGGCAGGAAAGGTGATTTACGTAATTCGTATTGATTATCGAATGGTACATTATCGTGTAACCTGATTTAATTCGGCACTTTAATTAAACATTCTAAGAGAAGACTGCACGTAACGTTAACATAGAATTTCGAAAGGATACATTTAATGAACGCAAAACACGATACAGTGGCGATGACTGTGGCAATTTACGTGGCAAATTAAAAAAAAAAACAATTTCAAAAGTTTTGACTGGAGAGCCGCGTGAATTTCCAAAATTAATCACGTGCCCTGAGAATTGATAACTATGATTTGATATTAATTGAAAGCTTTAATTGAATCTGATATACGCGCTGAAACATTGGCATACACAAATTAGGCGTGCAATTTCGCGATACAGATTTTTTTTAAAACCAAAGCCTAAATTTGCATCTCGTTTGCAGCAATTCGGTCGGAGCATATTTAGTTTTCTTTTTAACGCACACTCACGTGCGTCTCTCGACGGTGTGGCATGCATCTGTACACGCAATCACGTGATGTTGTTAAATCATAATAAATTTAGGTTACAGCGCGCAAAGATATCGCCAAGTTCGTAATTTCTTTGGTGCAGCTGCTACGCGCAAGAAATGCTAGATTACTTGTTACTCATTTCGACTCTGCCACCCTCCTTCAATGACGTCGTCGTTGTCGTCGTCGTCGTCGTCGTCGTCGTCGTCGTCGGCTGGTCTGATGTCGCAGATAATACAAGACACTCTACCAGGCTCCTTCAGTCGGCGCCACATAAACACGTCGTCCTCGTCTGTTCAGCCGAGGGGAGAAGAGGCATGGATAATTATACACCGCTCTCATCTCTCACCAAAGCGTATCCTCTAACTAGCGCTAATAACGCCGCTAATGCTCTTCCGTGGAAACTGTTCGTATCTAACAACCGCCCGGAACGTCGCCCGACGCAGGAAGATAAGATAGAAATAGCGCCAGGATATTGTCCTGGTTTCTTTCGGGATGGGAAAACACTGGCCGAGAA